AAAAAAAAAAAAAAAAAAAAAAAACGAAAAACAAGAAAAAACATCTCTTTATTACACTAAGAGGTATTTTTCATTCTTGAATTTCAAAACAGGAGCAGTAATTCCCCATACGACTCACAACGAGACGACAATCCCTCCATGGCACATGTATACTCTTAAACACGGACGTCTCGGTTACCACTACTGGTGAAGCCCCAAGTGTGATGTGCGGCCGGTACGCCTTTAATGCATACTTACTCAAATAGTCCATCATCCAATCCACTGTGATATCATTATCTGCGGGGAAGGACGGGTGAAATGCGGCTCTTCCCTCCTCTAATGATGCCCCAGAGACGTGGAACGGTTTTACAGCTGTCACAATTTGTTTATGCAACTCACACAGGGTCTCAGAAGGTTCAATGACAATGTTGGGTAAACGAATTTCCGTCCCGTCTGCTGTTTTGGCGAAGGCGGGGCCATTATCCAAGGTTGTTAAACACAGTTTCTCTTTACTTTCGAGTGTTTCACGGAGTTCAATCCAAATCTGCCGCACCAGTTTTCGCAAGGCATCCATATCGGTTTTGGCAATACAAAGCTGAGCAACTGTGCAGTGAGGATAACCAAAACCGCGGTGAAGTACCTTTTCCTCTAACGCTTTTAGTCGATACGATTTATCCTTGTCCCACTGCATATCAGCGTAACCTTCTGCAGGACACAAAGACCATGAAAGAGGGATTGCGGCACCATCAAAAGAAGGTGAGACAAGACAAATATTAACTGCGATTAGAGGCGCCATTGTGTACAATTTTACTTGATGAAACCCTATTAGCAGGAGACTAAAATAAATATGAATATATATAGAGAGAGAGAGAGAGAGAGAGAGAGAGAAAGCGAAAGAGTGTGAGAAATAAAAAGAAGAACCACCCACACACACAAAAAAAAGTGTATGAAATGCAGAATTTAACAGAAATCTACACTCCGTTATTTTTTCCTCCTTCTTTATGTATATGCACATCTATTTGGTTTGTGAAGTGATACTGCCCATTGCAAGCATCCAACAGAGAAGCAAAAATAACAAAAAAAAAAGAAAAA